GTGACACACTTCCTTCAAAAGGGTCACACCTCCTAATCCTTTCAAATAGTGTCACTCCCTGGTGACCAAGCATTCAAATCCTTGAGCCTATGGGGGCCATTTTTATTCGATTGATCACAAGGAATAAAGGGTTTGTTTTGCTTACACTTCCACAATCACTAAAGAAGTCCAGGTAGGAAGCTGAAGAGAGGAGCTGATGCTGAGGCAGTGGAGAGCAGCAACGCCAATACTAAAATTATTCAAATTACAGATCAAGGGTGATGTAGTACCTAGGATATATGTCCTGCATGTTCATCAATGCCTGCCTTGCTTTATAAAGGATTTAACACCAAGCATGCACTCAGTGCTCAGTATAGAGTTGTCCCCTGAGATTGTTTCCAGAGTAGTTTACTACTGAGATTCAGGCATCTCCCAGTCCTCAGGAGGAAGGATGTGGGCATCGCTCAGTCAGTCGTCAGCAGGAAGGATGCAAGCATCTTCCAGTCCTTAACAGGAAAAGGGGCCTATTACAGAATGCTGAGATAGTCTGCATTTTGATTCCTTGGTCTGGCTATCAGCTTATCTCATTTGAAATATTGCAGTACTCTCCTACTAGGACTATTTGTTAACAGTTTCTGCTCTATCTAATCTATTCTGTATACTATTACAAAATAAATTACAGTGCCTTTTCTGATTATGTGACCTTCTTGCTGAAAATTCCTTACTAAACTACTAATTGACAAATTGAATGCTTGAATATAGGCAACCCAGGAAGTCTTGTATGTGGTCCCTGTATCCACTACTTACACATGCTCTGGGATTTTGTATATCGAGATGCTGCTAGCATTTATCCCAAACTTCCAGCATCTATGGAATCTTTACATGCCGATAAAATTTTATTCCTTTATCAATGGTGGCTCCCACCTGCTCACCTTTCATAGCATTTTCCAGCTGTTATCCTTGCCATAAAGGACGCTTGCCATATCTGCAGGACCTTCGTCACTCCTCAGCTAGGTTATTAGCTTCATTTATATGTTTCCAGGACATCCTCTGTTTGGTTTCATCAAAGTCATAACAAGTCACATTCATCACATACTTGAGACCTACAGCCCTGGAAGGACGAAACTGTGCCTACGGGGTGACATTTTGCTTACTGTGCAAATGCTCCAGCCATGCTTCTCATTCCCACAACGTTTGAGTGCTCAGGGTGTACTAGATGCATAACAGTGTTAGTGATGGAAGGCTGAGTGCGAGCCGTCCACTGGAGGAGTACAGTGCCTAGGGGAGCAGAAAGCCACATGAGCATGCAGTTCCTCAGGGACTGACCTGTGATAGAGCGTAGTCTGCGCATTTGGCTGGAAGAGGATCAACTGGCTGAATTTGATCTAATCTGGAAATCTAGGGACATTTCTAGAGCTGCTGCTTGTGAGAAGAATGGGAGTGTGAAGGTATCCTTCACAGACTTAAATATCTATGTTAGATCCCTTTAGTGGTACATTGCAGGAAGCACTGAGGACTGACATAGTTTATAACTAAGTATATTAGTTGGTCAGCAATAAACCAAATGACTCTAATGAGGAAGAAACATTTTACTAGCTAAAGATGTAGAGGCAGTTTTCTAGAACAGGCCATGTCAATTGTCTTCCTTCCTTCCTTCCTTCCTTCCTTCCTTCCTTCCTTCCTTCCTTCCTTCCTTCCTTCCTTTTTTCTTTCCCTTCCCCCCCCCCTTTTTTGTTTTAGAATCTGGCCTGGAACTAGCTCTTGTAGACCAGGCTGGCCTCGAACTCACAGAGATCTGCCTGCCTCTGCCTCCCAAGTGCTGGGATTAAAGGCATGCACCACCACTGCCGAGCCCTTTCCCTTCTTTTTTATTATTGTTATAAAAATGGGTTCCTATTATGTGTCCCTGAGTATGTAGTTCAGATTAGTCATGAACACTTGGTTCTGCCTCAGTCTCTAGAAAACTCAGATTACAGGACTATGTCACCACATCCAGCCTATCTGTGACTTCAGTTTTTAAAGAGTAGAGAGTATCAAACTATTGAGTGAATGAAAACATCTTCACCCAGCTCTAAGGTAAAATTAACAAGTGAACATACAGGGTATAGCATGGCCCTTCGATGCACGACCGCACTGTCGAGCAACCAGAAGAAACTAATGACACACCCATCTTGACTCTGATGTCTCCCTTTGTGCTTCTCATCCAGATATGTACTCTGTTGAAGTGTAAGACCACCAGTTTACACACCTGTGGGAGTTCTGTGGACACGGCCTCTACCACATTTGAAATGTTCTCCCTCAGCGGCACTTTCGGGACCCAGTATGTCTTCCCTGAGGTGTTGCTGAGTGAAGTCAAGCTTGCACCTGGGGAGTTTCAGGTATTGATCTTTGCTTGATGTAGTCAGCTAACTGAGTAAAAGAGTGTAACAATGAGGGCCAGCTTGTTGGGGTTTCTGTCTCGCCCAGTACCCCACAGCCGGCAAGCCCCAAAGAAAATCACACAGAGATATCCATAAGTTATAAAACTGATTGGCCCATTAGCTCAGTCTTCTTATTAGTTCTTGCAGCTTATATTAACCCATTATTCTTATCTATGTTAGCCACATGGCTTGGTACCTTTCAGCTGGGTAGGTTACATCTTGCTTCTCAGTGGTCTGGGCTGGAATGGGAGCGGGAGCTTCCTGCTTCCCAGAATATTCCTGTTCTCTTTTTCCACCTCTACTTCCTGTCTATACCTGGTTTCCCCGCCTATACTTCCTGCCTGGCCAGTCAGCGTTTTATTAAAATACATGATTGACAGAATACAGATAATTCTCCTGCACCAGAAGAGGAAGCATTTTGACATCAAAACTTACCCCCAAATCTTCCAAGGTAACATTGTCTTTGGGGATCATCATAAAAGACCCAGTGCAGATGGGATTTCTTACCCAAAGATTAGTGTAATCTGCATGTCCTTTTTGTCCTTAATGGAGGAGACTGGGCTTTTCAAGGTCTGCTGAGTAGGAAAACGATTCAATGACAGTTGAATACTTCATGACCCTTCTCAACAGAGAAGCTGCTTAGAATCACTGACTGGCCTAGGGCTTAATGCCCAGTAAGATTACAGGAAAAAAGGAGGGAAGGACAAAGTGAACGAGAGAGAATTCTACAGTGGTTGTTGTCTGTAAGAAGGAGAATCTCCAAAGCCCAGAAAGAATGGCTTGCTTCATAACCTAATATGGCCTCCAAGTCACATTGTTCACTACTGGGCAGGTCTCACTCACATCCCTTCTTTACAGGAGTGATTGTAGGGTTGAGGGCTCACTGTGGGAGCCTAGGGGCCATGGGGAGCCAGTTACAGTAATGGACGCAGTCCAAACCCCACCTTGGCCCACTGCTCCTGACTTTTTGCCGTGTCTTCATGGGTCTGGAAGGGCCAAATTAGAAGCTCCTATGTCCAATTTGTCATGCTAACTAATTTATGGCATGTTTCCCAGACAAGTACATTGTCAGGCATCAGTTACATGCATTAAATAATAAATGAGCTGGTGTCAATTCTGCACTTTAAATTTCCTTACCCCCTGCAACATTTTAAATCTTGCAAAACCACAGTCAGGCCATCATTTTAAGCTGTTTCTTATGAAAAGTACTGTGGGATGATTGTAGCTTCAATAGACCTTATCTACTTTTCTGTGTTTTAACCAGGTGTCAAGTGATGGGCGTTTGTTTAGCCTGAAGCCAACATCTGGACCTGTGTTGACAGTCACTCTGTTTGGGAGGTTGTATGGGAAGGACTGGGCATCGAATGCTTCCTCAGACCTCATAACGCACTCACTGATGCTGCTAATGCTCATTATGATACCTATTATACATTACTTATGCTAGTAGAATTTTTATGTTCTTTATTTTATTTGGAATAATTTAAAACTAGTGGATGAAGGAAAGATGTTTGTCCACACTGGTCTCTGTGGACCATGAATAGAGGGACCTTTCTTTCTTTCTTTCTTTCTTTCTTTCTTTCTTTCTTTCTTTCTTTCTCTCTCTCTCTCTTTTCTTTCTTTCTCTCCTTCCTTCCTTCCTTCCTTCCTTCCTTCCTTCCTTCCTTCCTTCCTTCCTTCCTTCCTTTCTTGAGAAGCATATGCACCCTGGATGCATTTCAGGACAATTAATAGAACTTTGAGCATTGGTCTGTCTTGGAACTGAACTGTTAGACCAAATGAGAGTCACATATGTTTTATTCAGAAGAAATAAAAATTACAATTAAAAGACATGTCAGAATATAACAAATATTTACAAGAGGTTTGAATATTGTTGCCTCATTATGATATATATTTTACTCAATTAAGCTTAAGATTTCCAATGAGTTTGTTCATTTATTCTGTTAAGTATTTTTCTAAACAATACATTTCCATTCTCTTATAGGCCAAATACAAATCCTGTCCCTTTAATTATTAGTTTTTGTTTGTTTTTTCAAGACAGAGTTTCTCTATGTAGCCCTGGCTGTCTGGAACTCGCTCTGTAGACCAGGCTGGCCTCAAACTTACGGAGAACTACTTGTCTCTGCCTCGCGAGTGCTGGGATTAAAGATGTGTGCCACTTCTGCTCTGATCTCCCTTTAATTCTTAAATTGAAGTCCCAACCCCTGTGATCTCAGAATGTGACTGTTTGGGGAAATGGCGAATTTAAAAGAGGTACCATGAAGTCATCAGCATGAACTTTAGTCCAATATGACTGACGTCCTCAGAAGAGATTTAGAACAAAACAGCATTGCGGGAGGCTGGTGTGAACACAGAAAAGGATAGCCATCTACAACAAGGAAAGGGACCTCAGAAGAAAGTGAATTTGCTAATATATTGAACTTCCAGGCCCCCAGAATCACGAGACAATAAATTTCTCTTTAAGTGCTCCAGTCTTCGACTCTCTGTTACAGCAGTTCAAACAAACAACAACAAAACCAACAAAGTTCTCTCCTTGGCCTCATTTTCTAATCTAAAGATTTGGGCAAAATGATAGCTAGGCCCTATCACTGAGACTCCAACAAAAATTCCCTAGAAGATGGCTCACACATTGACAGTACAGCCACCAGATCACTGAGTAGCTGCTAGAACTAGGAAACCAGACAGTCTCATTTTGGAAACTATGTTTAATATAAAACTAAATGTTCTCTTTCAGTAATAGCAAAATAGTTAAATATTATACCACTTAGAGAAACAAAGGGTAACTTTTAAATAAACAAAAGGAAATCTCTGGAGGATAGTCCAGACAGCACTCTTATATTATCGGTGTCTTCTAAAATGTGCCCTTCTGGAAAGGAGAGCAGGAACTCACAGTCCTGATTCAGTATGGTGTTGCTCTGTGTGTGTATGTATGTGTGTATACACATAAGAGAATATGTGTGTGTGTGTGTGTGTGTGTGTGTGTGTGCCTATTCTCGTTTTTGAGTATGGGTGTGTGTGTATGTAGAGGTCATAGGACAACCTTGGGATGTCATTCTTCCACCTTGTTTGAGACAGATCATTCTGGTAATCACTGTTTGTATGCAAGGCTGGCTAACCACCAAGCTTCTGGAGATTCTCCCATCTCCATCCCCCATCTAACCAGAGGAGAACTGGTGTTGTGGGATTCTTCTTTGCATGCTATGTTTTATTACCATTGGTTATTAAAGAAGCTGTTTCAGCCAATGGCTTAGTGGAGTAAAGCCAGGCAGGAAATCCAAACAGAGGTAATAGAGAAAAGTAGTCGGAGTCAGGGAGGCGCCAGGGAGACTCTTTAGCTGCTAAAGGAGACAGATGCAAAATCCTTACTAGTATGCCACAGTCTCATGCAAATACATAGATTAATAAAAATGGAATAATTTAAGATATAAAAGCTAGCTAGAAAGACGCCTAAGCTATTGGCCAAACAGTGTTGCAATTAATATAGTTTCTGTGTAATTATTCATGTCCAGGTGGCCGGGTAATGGCCGAGTAATCTCCACCTACAAACTGGTATTACAGCACACATGATGTAATTTCTGGCTCTTCTGTGGTTTCTGGAATTCTGAATATAGGTCATGAGGCTTGCATAGCAGGTGCTATATCCTCTGAGCTAAAAGATACTAATTTCTTTCTCAGTGGTGCTTAATGCCACACCACAGTTGTATCTTGACCTTTTCAAGAGGTTAGTTATATTCCTCAACAACAGTTTTGCAGCTACAGAGTATGGGAGAATGCAGACTAAGGGCTAAGGAGGAAGTACATGATTAAGATTAACCTATGTGTGTGTCCTGGAAGAAGCATCAAAGTGAGTTGATCATGTCTGTTGGTGTGTCACAGCGAATAAAATCTTAACATGAAGAATGGAAATGTCTCAGGTCTGGAAGGTAAGTTTGCAATGATAAGTGAACAATCCATGAACAAAACAGTGAGCAGAGTGAGCCTGCGTGCACGTGTGTGTGTTTATGTGTGTATGTGTGTGTTCAGTACACATGTGCATGCTTGTGTGCAGATCAGAGATCAGTGTTAAGCGTCATCCTCAATCATTCTGTACCTTGTAACTTAGATGGTATCCTTTCACAAGGAGCTTGCTGAATCTGTCAGCCTGGCCAGATAGCAAGCCTTGGAGTTTTGCCTGTCTCTGCCTCAGTGGTAGCACTGTAGGCATGCACAGCCATGCCTGGCTTTTCATGTGAGTATAGTGTCTCTGAACTCAGGTCCTCAGACTTAAGCACCAAGCTGTTTACTCACAGAGCTGTCTCCCCAACCGTAGAAGTGCATTCTTTTGATGTTCTGTTTTGAAATTGTTCTTTCTGGTGAAAGGACCACAGAGTTAGCAAACACTCTTATCATCTAGAGCAGCTAGTTAGACATCAGTGTGTTCCATAGGCTTTGACATCATGCCAAGGCAAAGAGGATCCACCTGTCACTATAGCAGTAAATTATCTGATAAATAGTTGATATTTTGGCAAGTGCATTGAAGACATGCCAATTAGATAAACTTTAAACTGAGTTATGAAAATATCAGTATCACCAGTTATGGTGTTGATTTAATGAAATTTGTGGTAAACCAGTTGACTTCTTTTCATCTATGGTAAAGTTTTTTTATCTTGTTTTACCTAAACAATTAATTGAGGGCTTATTTGCTGATAGGATATGAGTGAAAATGAGCTAAAGTCCTGTGTGCTTAGTACTAGGAAAGTAGGTATTGTAAAGGTTAGTTATCAAAACACTGTAGTGAGAAAGTAAAATCTGATAGTCTCAGATTATCCTCCCAAGCATACATGTAACTTAACGAAAGATATGAAAACGGCCTTGAGGGATTGCCACTAACATATTACAATACTTTTAGTGATTAGGAGAGCTTTAAAAACTATTTTGGAAATGCTTGAAAACTATAATTACCAATTTTATCTTGTCTGCTATTAGCATCTTATTAATAAGTCTTTTGTACTCAAATAAGTACAGAGACCCATGCCTGGACAATGGGAAAAGAGTGAGACACCTTGACACACGCAGTCTTAAAGGGGATGTAATCTCTTCATCAAATCCCTCCTTTCATGGCTCAAGGAACTCTGCCATAGAAGAGGAGGCAGAAAGATTATAAGAGTCAGAGGGGATGGCAGACACCAAAAAAAAAAAAAAAAAAAAAAAAAAAAAAAAAAAAAAAAAAAAAAAAAAAAAAAAAAAAAAAAAAAAAAAAAAAAACCCAAAAAAAAACCAACAACAAAAAAAAACCACAAGGTCTTCAAAACATAGGAGGATCAATATACATGAGCTCTCAGACTGCGGCAGCATGCAAAGGTTCTGCATGGGACTATACCAGATGGAGTCATAGAAAGGAAGTAGACACAAGCCCCCATCCCTAACTCAGAAGCTATCTCCAATTGACAGTCACTTGCAAAGGAAAATTTAGTTTTCTCCAAGGAAGTCCAAACCACATTTAAGGGTAGGCCCCATGCCCATCAATAAACGGTCAACACAATACTAACTCAATGGTATTTTTGGAGGGATTTTGTCTCATAATGCTTTGTCTGGGTATTTTTTTAACCTTACAGTTTTTTTCTCATATATTATAGTTTCTGATTTTGTGTTTCTGCAGGTTTTCTGTTTGTGCTCGTGTGGGAGGATGGAGGGACTCCCCTATTCACCTACCCTCCCGATGGGTGTGGGGTCAAGTTCTTGTGAATGGAGTAAGGTTTGGTTACTCTTCAGGTGTTTGGAGGACACGTGAGAGAAAGCTATAGAAAGGGTTAAATCATCTTTTATTTGATATTTTTTTTCCAGTTTCTCGGTGGCTAGGAACTGGAAATTGGACAAATCCAGAACAGAATTCCTTTACTGACCCATTGTAATAATTTATCAGATTCTTGGATCTTTGCCTTGTAAATAATTGGTGAAATTCTTTAAAGTCTTGGGAATACACATGGGACTTTGTGCAATGTTCCTGGCTCAGGAACGGGTTGAAGGTCAATAAAGGTCTTCATGTTCTCTGTGTCTTCTGTTTCCCACAATTCCTCCTCCTTTCCTCTGTCCTCTCCTTGACTGTCCCCTCCCCCTTTCTGCTTCTCTGCATCATTACTGTCAGCAGCCGTACAGGCAGTCTGTCCATGCTCAGCTTTCAGGATGCAAGAAAGAGATGCAGATGGCACGCTGTGGGAAACCCACCCCTCTTGATTGACACCTAAGTTTTTTTTCTAACTTTTTTCATTCTACAGAGAAAAAAAAATGCAAAATGTCTAGCTCCGCTCTTACTGACTCAGTTCATTATGGGCTTTGGAGTCAAGACACCCAATGTAACCAGGCTTCCGAAATCTGTGCAAGGCTGCCCTCTGCAGGTCTCCACGAAACAAATAACTTTACTCGAGTCTAGTACGAGAAGAAATCCACGCGTTGGCTGAATGTGAATGTTCAGGACAGCAATTCCAGAACCCAGGAAATAGAGGCAGGAAGGAGACTTCAGCATCAACCTTGGCTACATAAGAAACCCAGGGTCAGACTGGGCTGTAGGCAGCCCTGTCTCAAAGCAAGGAAAGAGACTAACAATAACAACAAAAATAAATCAACGGGCAAGGTGCATTTTTTTGTTTTTTGTTTTTTTGTTTTGTTTTTTTTTTTTTTTACTGTTTTGAGACAGAGTCTTACTATGCAGCCGAAGTGAGTTTTGAACTCATCATATATCCTCCTGCCTCAGCCTCTCAAGGGCTGAAGTAACAGGTATACACCACCACACACAGTCTCAAGGTGTCATTTCTTTCAGAAAGGTAACACACTGCCTACAATAAACATGCAAACACAATGCCTTGTTTAGACACATCCTCCTCTTCTTGCCTTTTTTGAGATAAGATTTCTATGTGTAAAAGCACTGTTCTGGAACTTGTTTTGTAGAACAGGCTCACCTTGAACTCACAGAAATCCCCCGGCCTCTGCCTCATGAGTGCTTGGATTAAAGGTGTGCACCACCACCACCCAGCTGTTCTTCTTTTTAAAGTTATTTATTTTTATGTTTTGCCTGCATGCCTGGTGTCTGCAGAGGCCAAAAGCCCCTGGAATTGGAGTTACAGGGGATTGCAGGCTGCCATGTGGCTGCAGGGAACCAAATGCTGGTCTTCTGAAGGAGTTCTTAATTGCTGGATCATTTCTCTGACATGCTATTCTATTTATATGAATGAAGAAGTGACAGATAACCCTCTAAAGCTCTACCTTGTAATGTTCATGGAAAGTCTCTGATTCAGTAGCATCATGACGGCTTTAGTCAGACAATCTATTCCCTGGAAAGAGTCTTAGGAGATTGCCAAGATCTTGCAGCATTTAGTGGTACGTCTCTGGGACTCTAAATTTAATACACACACACACACACACATGCACACACACAAACATGCACATATTAAAACACACATGCACACATTCACACAAAGGCACACATACAGACATATATTATTTTCACTTTTGTTTCAGCCTCTATATTGTTATTGATATTTCATAACTGTTACTAAGACTTTAACAAATTCCAGGAGTTGTGTCACACCCTGTACCTATAAAGATTCCACACATGCTAAGGTGTTTAGATATAAATGCTTTAGACATGCAATTAGATCTAATTGCCCATAATGTAATATTTTTGTTCTAGTTGAGGAAACCATATAAAATATCTAAAAAGCGAATGGATTCAAGAGCTGTTAGATTCCAACCTATGGATGGCTCCACATATTTTTCAAGGTCAGGCTCGAATGTAAACCGAACGTCAGGTTCTACACCTAAATAAGGACCCGTTTGGAAATTTTATATGTAGGAATGGAAATAAGGTGATAGGTAAGTAACTGTGACTACACACACACACACACATACACACACACACACGTATATCCCTAAGAAAATGATTTCTAAATATGGCTTATAAATTACTTAAAAAAAGAGTAAAATAGCAAACACCAGAGATGATTGAATGAAGTAGGAACATTTTTCTAGTGGAAGTCCTTGCCCCTTGCTTTTTGCTGTCCACCTTCATCTGTACTGGATCAGGATATAAAACATTTCCTTTCTAAGCTTTAAAGCCAATGCTTTCAAAGAGTTGTTATTGCTATTATTATTATTATTATCATCATTAATTTGTAATTGATTCATGAGAATTGTACTTTTGTAGTAAAAGATTTTCTAGCTGTAAAATATTTTAGGTTTCAGTACATGCAAACTTAAAAAAGAAATCCACCTGGTCGGTATCGAGCATCTGCTTCTGTAATGAATGCTTTTCTAAGGACTAGCTGTTTCCTTTGTACGTGTGTCTAATAGAGGAGCCCTTTGCTTGCAGATCAATCAACAATTAAGGCAGGCAAAATGGTTATGTGATTTCATTTATATTCTGTTAATGCTGATGGCTGTGATTATGGATGGCCCACCCGTGGGTTTATTTTTAAAGTCATGGTAATATTTACCCTGCAAGCTTCCGGGTGCCGGCTTAGAATTCTAGCACCTTCGTGCTGTATTGATCCCTCACAGGTAGCTTGTTTTAGAAAGATTTATTATCCGCTTATCTGCTTCGTATTTTAATATGCGTGCCGTTCTGTGTGTGCTAGCTATCCATTATCATAAACCGGTAGTGGGCTCTCTCCAGGAGCAGATGGACAAGAGGCAGACAAAGGCAACCTGGCCCCAAAGGCAGGATTTCTGCTGTTGGTTCCAGCATGGGTTCTGTTCTTTTTTTCTCCCAGAGAAGATAGATCTGTGGACACTCAACATCTGCAGCAGACCTTAAAGACCTACCCTTCTGAGGTGTGGAGCAGTCTTTTATTTGGAGAGAAAGCCAAAGGTAATGAGATCTATCAATTGCTTGGTGCTTACTTAGAAACCAGAGTTTAGAATTATCATCTACAATGTTGTATAACTGCTGCTTTAGTAAAAGAAATGTGCTTTAAAATTATTTTTTAACAATGTGCTTCACACATGACTTTTCATCTACAGAAACCTGAGGATTGAAAGTTTGTTGTGCAGCTCCTGTAAAATCAGTACGGTCTAAGTTACAGGCTGTGCTAGTTCAAATTGGTTAGGATAACGTCACAGAGTATTTTAGACATTTTGAAATTAAAGTATATCTTACTGTCACCTTATACTCAACTGCAGAACTAAATTATTGAAAAGTTAATTGAGGTGTTTATAGTATTAATATTATTTTGTGAGGAAATGTTTGCATATTTCCATATTACTTCAAGTGTGCATAAGGTGTGTATAATGTGCATGTGTATAATGTGCATGTGTGTGTGTATGTCTGTGTGCATACTTGCTCGTTATCAGGTCAACTATGTCTAGAATCTTCTCCCCATTGAAGTATCAGTTAAACCCCATTCACGTACCTCATGTATGATAAGCAGCAGAAACCCACTCACCACAAACTATGGGGCATCGTTTTTATCTCCTTTTGTTGGTCTGTGTTGATGTGTCAAAGAGCTAGTGGGTTTTGCCACCTGTCCTGCTCTGTGTTAGGGGAATGGTTTGCTTCTGCTGATGTTCCATCTCAACCATAATGATTTCAGCATTTGGAAAGGTTGCATGCCTGCCCCTTGCTTCTTTACCTTTTTAAAAATAAGAATTTGTCAAAAATACTTTCAGCATTTAAATAAAGGATACAGAGCTGTAAAATAAAAATATTTTAGAATAGAATTATTATTAAATTCACATCTAATTTTATTTCCAAATTTGCATGGTAGAAAACAAGACATGAGTTTTCAGATGTGTAGCAAAAGTGTGATTTAAATATAAAGGTAAAAAAAATATTTCACGAAGACTCACAGAGCTCCACTTACTTCTGCTTCCTGATTAAAGGCATGCCTGACCACACACAGCCATTTTTATTTAAAATCAAATGAGAAAATATTACTCTTACCATTGAATTTATTCTTCATGACTTGACATTTAAATTCTTCTATAATTTTTTTTATATTGAGTTTTCCTAGAGTCTTTTAGAAGGTGGTTTTTTTTTCCCCCCAGCCATGCAGACACTGTTATGGCCGAATATGAGTCTGTTAAGTTGTCATTTCATTTTCTTCGGTTTTAAAATTATTCTCAGCCCTTTGGCTTCCCAACAATAAAAGAGTAGATCTATTAGCCACACCTTGATATTCTTACTCTCATTTCCTCCATCCCCCACGTTTCCTCTCTGCCTGCCTTCTATTTCCACTCCCAGGGCCTTATAGATGCTAGGCATGGCCCTGTCACTCAGGTGAGGCCTAAGCTCTAGTGGTAGAAAAGGAGAAGGACGCAGGAGGCTGGGCAGTTGAAAAGAGTGCCCGTAGTTGGAGGGTGATAAGACACTTCATTTACAGGCACACAGGCTTCTAGGCAGGCTGGAGAAGGTGCAGATAAAACTAAAGATCTCTGATGTGGGGTATCCACCAGAGAAGACTGCTCAGACACGGGTTTATGCCAAAGGAAAGTCTTTATTAGTGGGCCAGTGACTACACTGGATGTTCAGGATCCCAACGTAGCCCCAAACCTTTCTTTGAGATTTTTATAAAGCACAAAAACCATGTTCAGGGTGGGCATTCAGTTAACAAGATTAGTTAGCCAGAAGCAGAACTCCAGAAGCCAAGAAGCAAGGTCAGCACATTCAGAGACTTTCCCAGGCTTTGATGGATTAGGTCTTTGTTTTCATTTTGGCAGGTGGTACTGTCTACATGCGGAGTTTTGCATTCTGAATGGTGCTTCTGTCATGAAGTCAGTGGTGCTAGGTCTGGAGGCCTGTTAAGATCTGGGGACCTGCTACAAGTCCAAATTCAAATAAAACCTACACAAATGCAGCACTCTATAAGAGATGGTTCCACAGCAAATATGCCACTGTTTACTTGTGGGTCCCCTAATATTTGGGGTCAGTCATTTTGTGCTGACGTACAGCTGCTCCCACTCACATCCAGCATTAGCTATTTTGATCCATGCCAGGTGTTCATATCAGCACCGTGTTCTTTGAGTTGCTGTCCCTAACAGGCATTCAGCAGTCTTCATTGTTGTGGGTTTGTAAACCGGTGCGTAAATGATCTCTTGAAGTTGCCATTTCTATTATTGTTAGTATGCTTGTGAGATTTTTTTTACACTCTATCCGCTAGATCAGTTTGGTATTTAGTTATGGTTTCATTATTCTCTTTTGTGCTTTACTGGGGAGCTTAAACTGCTACCCATCACTTCTTATGCCATTCACATTTATCATCTTGTTTTAAAAAAAATTTATTTAAAAATAAACTATCTTTTTCATTTTACATGCCAAATCTAGCTTCCACTCCTTCCCCTCCTTCTGCTCCCTCTACTTCCCTCCCACCCCACCACCCATTCACTCCTCAGAGAGAGTAAGGCTTCCCATGGGAGTCAAGAAAGTCTAGCACTTTGCTTTGATATAAAGCAATGACCAAGACCCTGCCTTCTATATCTAGGCTGAACAAAGTATCCCTTCAAAGAGAATGGATTCCCAAAACCCAGTACAAGCAGTAGGGATAAATCCTGGTCTCACTGCCAGTGGCCCCACAGTCTGCACCAGTCATGCAACTGCCACTCACATTCAGAGGGTCTAGTTTGGTCCTATGCTCAACTTCATATGAAGAAACACAAAACCCAGGATAGTCCAAACAATCCTGTATAATAAAGGAACATCCAGAGGCATCACCACCTTGACATCAAACTCTATTACAGAGCTACAGTAATGAAAACATCTTGGCATTGACATAAAAACAGAGAGGTTGACTACTGGAATCGAATCGAAGACCCGGATATTAGTCAACACACCTATGAACACTGATTTTTGACATAAAAGCTAAAATTACACATTGGCAAAAAGAAAGCATCTTCAACAAATGGTGCTGGCATAACTGGTTGTCAGCATGTAGAAGAGTGCAAATAGATCTTTATCGATCATCATGCGCAAAGCTCAAGTCCAAATGGATTAAAGACCTCAGTATAAATTTGACCCTGATAGAAGAGAAAGTAGGAAGGAGACTGCAACACATGGGCACAGGAGACTTCTCCCTAAGTGGAACACCAGTAGCACAGACACTGAGAGCAGTCGGGTTTTTAAACTCATTTTTGTTTCAGACTTTTATTTCTCTGCTCCCACAACAGCCTTCTTGATGGCTTGGCTTCTGTCTGTGCTGCCATTCCACATTTTCGATGTCCTAGTGTTTCTGGGTGGTGTATGGGGCATGGAATTTGGAGCATCTCTGAGACTCTGCTTCCGGCATCTTGTCAGCAGATTTTCTTCCATTATCAGCACTTGAATGCTGTGACTCTTCACACTTGAATTTTAAAATGTGCACCTCTCTTTGAATTACATTTATATTTAAAAGCAGAATTTGTTGAAATTATTGAAACACAATTCTGATTGTTTTGCATAGAGCTAAGTATTAGTCTTTTAAGGACCTACCTCTTTTTTTGTTTCATTTTTTGGTCTTTGTTTGTTTTTTTTTTTGAGTCATATCAGTCCTAGCTGTCTTGGAACTAGCTTTGTAGATCAGGCTGGTCTCCAGCTCACAGTGATCTGCCTGCTTCTGCCTCCTGAGTGCTGGGGTTAAAGGTGTGTGCCACCATGCCTGTCATCTTAATTTTCATGACTTCTTCAAGCAATAAAGGATGTACAAATATTGTGTCTTATGAACCCTTGAATCTGAGAGATCATTTTTCATATTCATACAAAGATGTAGTTCTGCATTTAGTATTCTCTGGTTTTAAACCATTGTCTTGTTTCTCGCTATGGTGCTTCTCATTAAATGAAAGGCTTCCGTATACCTGAGAAATGGAAGGTTATGTGATCTGGGGAAAGCACATTAATTAGGGACGCAAATTTGTGAGGAAATGTCAAACAGCATCTACTCTATTAGAAAATCCAATTCAAGATTGCATGAGCTGCTAATGTGAGCCCCTACAAGGCATCTTTCCTAGTTAGGCTTTCCATTGCTGTGATGAAACACCATGGCAAAAAAAAAAATGTGGAGAAAGGGGTGTATTTGTCTTATGCATCTACATTATGACCCATCACTGAAAAACAAAAATTCAAATGGGGCAGGAACCTAGAGGCAGGAGTTGATGCAGAGGCCATGGAGGGGTGCTGCTTACTGGTTTGTTCCCCATGGCTTGCTCAGCCTGCTTTCTTATAGAACCCAGGTCCACAAGCCTAGGGATGGCCCCCCACACAATGGTCTGGGCCTTCCTTCATTATTCAATAATTAAAAAAAAATACTTCACAGGCTTGCCTACAGCCCCATCTTATGGAGGCATTTTCTCGACTGAGGTTCCTTCCTTTCAGATGACTTTAGCTTGTGTTACATTCATATAAAGCAGAGCAACACACATCTTGAAGAAAGAGAGTGAGAGAGGCACAGAGAAGGAGAAGTCAGGAAAATCCAGCTGCAGTGTTGTGGGTTCATGCCACAGCTGGCAGCACTCTTCTACGAGATGAGATCCTGCAACACTTCAAAGTAAAACGGTTAAGGAGCAGGTATCCATGAACAAATATTGTGTGTATTTTGGGAATATTTAAATGCATCAGGTGTGTATGACTTTCTGGTCTGTCTTTTGGTCTCTTTTGAACATCAAATATTGGCTGTTTTCAATAAGCTCATTAGACTTAACTGAATGTCATCACTTCTCGGTTCAAACGGGCACACCACTAGCTGTTCTTGGTCTTTCCCACCCCTCCATTTCCCCCTGTCCCACATACCTCACCCACGACTCTGACTCAGTGATTTTCTTTTTCTGGAGAAGCTTTCATTTCACCTCATGATAGATTCTTTTTGCTATTTAGTTTCCTATTTTTCATGGATGGATGGTGTGGTGAAGCGTACACACACTTGTAGAGGCCCAAGATTGATGACCGAAATCACCATCAATTGCTCTTCCATCTTGTTCATTGAGGCAGGATCTCTTAATCAAACACTGAGCTCACTAATATGTCTAGTCTTCCTAGGCAACTTGTTTTGGGGGTTCCCTGTCTGTACCCTACTGACCGGTATTCATGTGAATTCTGGGGATCTGAACTTCAGATTCATTCATGTGTTCTAACCACTGAGAAATCTCCCAGGTGAGCAATCTTCCAGGTATAATTTATAATGGATTTCCCCCCTGATTACTAAAACAGCAATGCTCTCCTCAGCTCCATATCATCCATTAAATATTCATATGTCCTCTATAGAATTTCTTCATAATCTTCACCTTTAGTGAAGAAACAGGGAACCAACTCATTCTTTCTTAGCTTAGATGCTAATGCTCACGTCAGGACTCTAAAACAAACCAAACGCAAATTCAGTTTGAAAAATATACAGCTTTGGAAAAAGCTTTCCTTTTAGCCTCTGATGTCTCAAGTACAAGTAGCGTTGTCTTCCCCAAAATGATTGTAGCTGGATTTTGAAAGTTTTAGTTATACCCTGATCAGTGAAAACTTGCACAAAGCTGTCACTGCTTCCTTAGTTTTCACCTAGAAAGCTGGAAAACTTCACTAAATTCACAGAACCTCTGCCTTGACTAGTGATGAAAAAAGTCACCCAGTTTGCATTAAATCACAGAAGTCTGTGTTTGTAACCCTCTCTGCTGTCCTCTCTCTAAGGGCAAGACAGAAGTAATAGCCTAGTCACATGAAAATCAGACTTGGAGTTAGAAGAATGAGATGCTCAATGACTCTATAAGAGGGCTTCCTATCAATAGAATGCACACATATGTACATTCCTCAGGAACATTTCACCGGAAACATGGTCTTAATACAAAACAGGGGCAAGCATGGTCACAGAACTTGTAAGGGATGGTGACTCAGGAACCTCAGGGAGGATCTACTTGAAGAAGTGACTAAGATACCAGGCAGAATGTGGTCCAAAGACTTACTAGAATTTGGTAATCTAGTAGTAGGTTGGCTAAGAAGACTTTGATAGCATATTAATGGAAAGTGTCTATTAGGGGCATACTCAAATGCTATTTTAAATTTATCCTCTGCCAACTGTAGAGTGTAAGCCTTCCAACTCTGACTTTCTTCAGACAAGGTCTATTTGCATTGACCGAAACAAAATAATTATCATTTGATTTCCTCTGGCTTTTAAATGTAGAGGTTTAATGTGCTGATATTTTTTCATTCCAAGTTTTATATTTTAGCACAATGTCTAGCTCCAGCTGGATATTAAATATGTTTTGAGTTCAAGTATTAAAGTACCCTTGTAAATAAAACTTCCAAAGCAGATATTTTTTTTAGCAAGAACATGCAAATGTGATATAAAGGAATGAGTTAGTTGTTGATCAGGTAATCATTTTTCTTCTTCTTTTTGCTCCACCCAGGTTTCCAGGACAGTTATGTGCCCATAAAAAAGCAAAAGGAGAAGGACCTCTAACCTGACTATGGATTCTGGAGAAAGATTGCTCAACAGCCTATGGGAAAAGCCATGTCTGTAGTGATGCATCTTTGCCACGATATTAATATTTCCCACACGAACAGCAACTGGTCAAAGGGTGTTCGTGCTTCCCTGTATAGCGTAATGTCACTCATAATTCTGGCCACTCTAGTTGGCAATTTAATGGTAATAATTTCTATATCCCATTTCAAGCAACTTCATACACCCACAAATTGGCTCCTTCATTCCATGGCCACAGTGGACTTTCTGCTGGGCTGCCTGGCGATGCCTTACAGCATGGTGAGAACAGTTGAGCACTGTTGGTATTTTGGAGAAACTTTCTGTAAAGTTCATACCAGCACAGATATTATGCTCAGCACGGCATCCATTTTCCACCTATCCTTTATTTCCATTGACCGCTACTATGCTGTGTGCCACCCATTGAGATACAAAGCCAAGATGAATGTCTGGACTATTTTTGTGATGATCCTCATTAGTTGGAGCATCCCTGCTGTGCTTGCATTTGGGATGATCTTCCTGGAGTTGAACTTCAAAGGAGTTGAAGAACTGTATCACAGACAGGTTTGCTGTCTGGGCGGGTGTTTTGCCTTCTTTAGCAAAGTGTCTGGGGTACTGGTCTTCATGATGTCTTTCTATATACCTGGATCTGTAATGTTATTTGTTTACTCTAGAATATATTCCATAGCTAAAGGACAAGCAAAGTCAATTAATGGCACACATCTGCAAATTGGATCGGAAGAGAAAAACAGAATGCCACAAAACAAAGAAACTAAAGCTGCAAAGACCTTAGGGATTGTGATGGGCGTTTTTCTCATATGCTGGTGTCCTTTTTTTATCTGCATGGTCCTGGACCCTTTTCTGGGCTATGTTATTCCACCCAGTTTGAATGACGTACTGAGTTGGTTTGGATACCTGAATTCTGCCTTCAACCCAATGGTTTATGCCTTTTTCTATCCTTGGTTCAGAAGAGCACTAAAGATGATTCTCTTTGGCAAAATTTTCCAAAAAGATTCATCTAGGTTTAAGTTATTTTTATAATGCAATCCATGAAACCATTATATGTTACTGTTTTGTAAAAACAGTTGATTATATTTATGATAATAGTGAACCAACATTAGGCACATGGGCTTTTAAAATTTTTTATTTGAGTTAAATATATATACGAGTTAAACTTTCATGTTTGTATATAATCTGATATTTGGCACCAAATAGATGTGGTCTCTGACATTATTGCTATGCAGTATTAAAGACTTACATGTCAAAGAATTGTCCTTGCCCTTAGATGACCTTCTGTGAATTGACAGCAGTAATTTATTCATTCAGCAACTGAATCACACAGCTGAATTCAGAGTACAAATTAGAAGGAATATATTTATGTTATATTACACATATATGTATAGTATATGTATAGTATAATACAAGTTGCCTCTATTCAGTCTAAAACACTACTTTGAATTCCTTACCTGTTGACGGAGGCTGCTTATTCATTTCCCAGCTGCCCAGGACCAAAATAATCACACAGAAACTACTCATTACAACACTGCTTGGCCAATTATTTTGCATGCATATTTCTAACTAACTCTTACATCTTTAATTAATCCATTTCTATTAATCTATGCATTACCACGAGGCTCGTGGTTTACCAATAAAGTCCTCCAGCGTCTGTCTTCTTCAGTAACTACACAGCACCTCTTTGACACCACCTGTGTTCTCTCTATATCCCTTTCAGACTGGCTATATTCTGACCTGCTATAGGCCAAAACAGCTTCATTCATTAACCAATAAAAAAGCAGCATGTATACAGAAGGACATCCCACATCACTTTCCCTATGAGACCAGTTTGTTAAATTTCAAAAGGGAAACATATTTTTGAAGAATTTTCTGTACTTTACAGTGAGTTTTCTGTTGTTTTTCTTATTTATCCTGAGATGTCCCTCAAAGATTTTTTTCTAAATATTGAATAAGTCGTTAAAAAATTGTTATTTTGATTTACATGAAGAGAAAGGCTCTAGAAATGAAGGCCCAAGGATCCAGAAATAACTGTCTGGATTTATGTGCAGCCATGCAGATGTGTGATTAGAAGACAAAAAGATAGAATCTAATACTAATAAACTGGGTGAAACTGGAAAAAATGTATTTTATTGTAACCATCGTTGCTAGTATACAATAAAGCTTATATTTATTCTCATTTGATTTGTTTGTGTTTTCATACTAGATAAGCACACCGTCCTTAAATTTGCTTTAACTTCTTTTAGAGAATTACTGTTTTTTTTTTTTGTTGTTGTTGTTGTTGAAATAGGGCCCCACTAAGTAGTTTGACTAGCCTAGAACTTGCGACGTAGACCAGGCTGGCCTCAAACTCACAGAGATCTGCCTGCCTCTGCCTCCTAAGAGCTGGGATTTAAGATGTACGCCACTGCATCCAGCCATTAAGACTTTACATTACACCCGCCATTAACATTTGTGTATATATATTACATCCAACTATTAAGGTTTTTGTATACACTACATCCCGCTATTAAGGATTTTTATGTACATATTCCTTATTGCGCTCTATTAGTAAGAATTTCTAGAACAATATTGATGTCAATGAATCATTACTACTCAGGTTTTTATTAAACCTGTATCAACCTTTATTTTTCTTCAAACAAGCTTATGAGTCACATAATTCTACATTTTTACCTAGTACCAAACCCCTTAGCACATCTCTTTCTTTGTAGACACTGGTTTAATATTCATAAGAGATAGCCAAACAGGAGGAAAGGACAGCTGTGGACTTTCCACATTCCCAGCTTCATATAACCTGCATCTTTTGATTGATGGAGAAGGTTTGTTTTTTTTTTTTTTTTTTTTTTTTTTTTTTTTTTTTTTTTTTTGGTTTTTCGAGACAGGGTTTCTCTGTGGTTTTGGAGACTGTCCTGGAACTAGCTCTTTAGACCAGGCTGGTCTCGAACTCACAGAGATCCGCCTGCCTCTGCCTCCCGAGTGCTGGGATTAAAGGCGTGCGCCACCACTGCCAGGCTGGAGAAGGTATTTTTGTGTCTTGATTGCCCAGTACCCAGCTATAAACCAGTTAGCCTTACAGGACCCATTTTCATGGTTTTATTTATTTATTTATTTTGAGACAGGGCTTTTCTGTAGCTTTGGAGCCTGTCCTGGAACTAGCTTTTGTAGACTAGGCTGGCCTTGAACTCACAGAGATCTGCCTTCCTCTGCCTCCCAAGTTCTGGGATTAAAGGCATGGCCCAACATTTTCCATTTCAACTGGACAAAATCTTCTCTAACTGCCGTGTGGCTCTGGGGCTCCTAGCCTCTGGCCTCTCCTCTTAACTAAACAGATGACGGCATGACCTAAGATAAAATTTTCAGAAGATTTTGCTTCAGAATTGGAATCTCTACAAATGTGAGTAGGCAGTTGACACTTGACAGGATGATTAGCAAGAGAGAGCCAAAGGATGTGGAGTTTCAGTCTGTGCAAGCTGTAAGATCATGGTCAGACTTCTCCCCTTCTGCCCATTTCCAAAGTGAGTTATGTAGCCTTTCATGACCCACGAGTCCCAGAGAAGCTTCCATGAAAAGTTTTTAGTTATATTGGTGGGAGGCCTCTCACTTGTAGAAGAATATAATTGTTCCAAGAAAATAGTTATAACAACATGAATAGTTCTTTCAAAGCCAATTTATTATGAGAAATAATTTTATTGTCCAGGTTCCACTAAAATCTTCATATAAATTTTCATTCCAGATCAAGTAGTAATATGTTAGCAAGGACATTTGTTGGAAATGAATGGTTCTGTTTTAGGAGGTATGTGAGCTAGGAGGTTTCATCACGATTTTAAACTATATCTGGAAATCAACAATCTAATCTTTGCAAAGTCACACGTACTTGCTAGAAAGTAGAACAAACTGGGTGAACTAATCCACTGAGGATTTTGACAAGCCAGACTTTCTGTTTAATTGTGTGCCAATGTCACCAACCAGGAACTTGAATATTAAATATAAAAGATGCATAAAGAATGATTTATTTTTTCTAAAGCAGTTGTTATTATTTATTTTAGTTATTTTAAAATTATGTATCTTGTGTGTGTGTGTGTGTGTGTGTGTGTGTTTGTGGCACACAAGTACAGGTGCCAGAAGAGGGATTTCAATACCCTGCAGCTCGAATTAAAGGCAAACTCGAGTTGCCCAACATTTCAGGAACTGAATCTGGCCCTCTGTAAGGGCCTCATATTTTCTTAAACATTGAACTCTCTCTCCATCACAAACAGTTGGGTCTACAGCAGTATTTTGAAAATATTTGTGTGTGTATGTCATGGTGTGTGGTGTCTGAGTTCATGGGTGAGGGACACAGATGCACAGGTGGAGGGCAGAGGAGGACATCAGGTGTCCTACCTTATCATTCTCCCCTCACCCCATTCCCTCAAGACAGGATTTCTCACCAAACCTAGAACTAGACTGGTGACCAGAAAACCCTAACAGTCCTGTTCTGTAGCACTGAACAACACCACAGCCATTCTTGCCTTTTTTTTTTTTAATTTTTTATTGAGAAAAAGAAAAAAAAAGTTTCTGCCTCCTCCCAGCCTCCCATTTCCCTCCCCCTCCTCCCACCCTTCTTCCCCTCCCCCACTCCTCTCCCCCTCCCTCTCTAGTACAAAGAGCAGTCAGAGTTCCCTGCCCTGTGGAAAGTCCAAGGTCCTCCCCCCTCCATCCAGGTCTAGGAAGATGAACATCCAAACTGGCTAGGCTCCCACAAAGCCAGAACATGAAGTAGGATCAAAACCCAGTGCCATTGTCCTTGGCTTCTCATCAGCCCTTATTGTTCGCCATGTTCAGAGAGTCCGGTTTTATCCCATGCTTTTTCAGTCACAGTCCAGCTGGCCTTGGTGAGCCCCACTGTCTCCGTGTGGTCCTGACTTCCTTGCTCATGTTCTCCCTCCTTCTGCTCCTCATTGGGACATTGGGAGCTCAGTCCGGTGCTCCAGTGTGGGTCTCAGTCTCTATCTCCATCCATCACCAGATGAAGGTTCTATGGTGATATGCAAGATATTCATCAGTATTGCTATAGGATAGGGTCATTTCAGGTTCCCTATCCTCAACTGCCCAAGGAACTAACTGGGGACATTGCCTTGGGCTCCTGGGAGCCACTCTAGGTTCAAGTCTCTTGCCAACCCTAAGGTGGCTCCCTTAACTAAGATATGTGCTTCCCTGCTCCCCTATCCAACCTTCCTTTATCCCAATCTTCCTGTTTCCCCAAGTTCCCCCCATCCTCCCCTTCTCATTTTTTCTCTCCCCATCTCCCCTTACCCCCATCCCACCCCACCATAGCCATTCTTGCCTTTTAAAGAATCAAAAGTCCACATGCAATTTTCGGAACATTTGACCATAGCTTGCTGGATATGTGCACGGTCTTAAAAACAGGCAAAGACTGCAAAATCCACTCTTGACAGATCCTTGCTATTCTTTGGTCTCATCTCTTCTTTCCTTAAAATTCCTTCCATAAGACTGTAAGTTGCTGGCGAATTTATGATCCTCTCCCATTTTGTATCATTTTATTGAGTCTGGCTCTATGGTGATTCATATCAGCTCTATGTCTGATTTGTATCTATCTTTGTTTTTTCCTAAGAGGAAAACATCACTGTCTCATGAAAATGCTGCAGTTCTGGTGATATGTAAAAAGGAGAGTGACGTAGTGATGTCAAGTTAGTTCACTCACAATGATGCAGTAATGTTGGGAAGTCCTCTCAATAAATGTGTAAGTCAGGTACGTAGCAACTTGGTGTGGGAGGTTCTTCTGTCTATGTGTTGCTTTTATTGATTAAAATGAATAAAGAACTGGTTTGACCTATAGCATGGGAGAAGAAAGGCAGAGTTAGAGAGCTGCCACCAGAGTAAGACATGCTAAGACATGCCGAAACTTTGCTGGTAAGCCACTGCCATGTGGCGATACATGGATTAATAGAAATGGGTTAAATTAATATGTAAGAGTTAGCCAATAAGAAACTAGAGTTAATGATCCAAGTAGTGATTTAAATAATACAGTTTCTGCATGATTATTTCAGTTCTGGGCAGCCAGAACAAACAATTGGTCTCCTTTCAATAGTAACTGGGATGATCCTTTCTATATTTTGCTTATTGGTCAATGGTTTTACAATTAGGTATGAATAAGTAATGCTTTTTAACCCTGGCTACCATAGGAGTCCTTTATAATAGTGTGGGCACTCAGTCTCATGCCAAGAAGATGATCTACCAAATGACTTCCCTTCCTTCCTTGGAGCTGTGACACAGCAAAGACAGTGATTAGTTATCTACTTCTGTAAGGACCTGGACTGGAAATTAGGTGAATTCTTGAGCACACTAACATAAAGCAAAACACAGAAGTGCATGACAGAAACATCTGTAGACTTTGAAAACAGACAAGTGAGGATTCATATCCTTTCCTTAATGGTCCTATTTTTCTCCCCTTGTGCCTTTGTTTCAGCAGGTATATTTGTCTGAAACATCTCTTCCCCATACTCACATTGTAACTGAGTAACATCTGAACGCTTGCCATGGAAGTTACCTATATATAGATTCCCCCAAATGAGTAAGCCTCTTTCTCTGAACTCCCAACACACTTCACACAGTCCTTGTCGGTGGACTCGCTGGTTATGCTATGATGCCCTTTGCCCCCGTAGACATCACAGTTTTATTCTTCTTTACATTCTTATGATCTTGACTGTCAAGACTCAGAAGACATTTCCAGAGGTGTTTCTAGGACTTTTATTTTAGAAGAAAGAATTGATCAGTCTCTTAGTCACTGTTCTATTGCTGTGAAGAGACACCATGACCAAGGCAACTCTTATGAAACATTTAATTGGGGGTTCACTGACAGTTTCGGAGGTTCAGTCCATTATCATCATGGTGCTGAGCATGGGAATATGCAGGCAGGCACTGGAGCAGCACTTGAGAGCTGCATCTTAATCCAGAGAGAGAGAGAGAGAGAGAGAGAGAGAGAGAGAGAGAGAGGGAGAGAAAGGGCTTTTGAAGTCTCCAAATCTACCTCCAGTGAAACTTCTTTCAACAAGGTCACAACTCCTAATCCTTATAATCCATTTAAATAGTACCACTCCCTAATGACTAGCATTCAATATACAAACATATAGGGGGGATTGTTTTGAAATTACCACAACCAGGAACACATAGCTGCAATGG